GCGCCTGCCGCTCAGCCAATCAAGTGGCACCTGCGGCGGCTGCGGCACGGCGGCGCGCGGCGGGAGCCGGGCGCGCCCCCCCTCCGCGGCTGCCCGGCCGACGTCAGACACAGCGAACGGCGCCGATCGCATCGCGTCTCGCACGCGCCCGCTCGCTGGCGGAGCGCCGCTCTCTCGCGCCACTGTTGGAGCGCGGCGCGCGGGCGCATGCGATCGCCGGCCTCTTGCTGCGCCCGTCGCCAGCATCCTCGCCTCGGCTGCTGACTCGCGCCATTCGCTGGCAGACTCCTTCCACTCTCGGCCCTCGCCTCTCTTTATACTTGCTTCCTCGGCCCGTCGCCGCCAGAGACTCCGCGGCGGCGTGAGGAGGCCGATCTGCTTCTCCCCCCGCTACCAAGGCAGGCGCGCCCAAGGCGGCGCGCGCTACGCGCGTGCCCGCGCGTGGCGCCGCGCCCGCGCTGACCGGCCAGCCCTCTGCTCCTGCTGGAGGACACAGCGAAAGCGGTGCATGGCCACCTCGACCTGCCCTGCCACGCCAACGCCGAGGCCCACCCGAACCCTCCCCATCGCGAATCTCTTCGAGGACAAAGTTGGATCGCAAACGAGCTGACCGAGGCGTCGGGTGGCAAGCTGGCCACGCGCGTTCTGCCTGCGCACGGGGCCTGGTTCCACGAATTCCAGAAACACTCCCACCTCAGCTGGGTGCCGTGCACCGCGCTCCACGCGAAGCCCACAGATGCTGCATTGGGAGGCAAAGGACTCTGTGGCCGACATGCCGTCAGGTCCGCTCAACGCGCCGGCCCGCGGGCGAGGAAGGCGAGTGTCGGCGTGCGTCCTGAAGATGGTGGGCCTTGCTTCGTGTGCCCCCTCGCGGAACTTGGTCTACGATGTCTGACCGCGGTTGCGAGTGCTTACTGCCAGAGGGGCTGGATTTCTCCATGCTGGATCTGCTCGTCATGGTCGCCCCAAACAGCGCTCGTGTTGACCTACGCCGAGGGCCTGAACATCCAGGGCAGGCAGTGCGGGGCCTCCTGGCAAGTCGTGGTCGTGCGCCTCCGTGTGCAATACGGCGTAATTCGGCTCGGGGAAATCTGCATATTTTGTTTGTCTGTTGTGGTTGTCGTGTCATGTCGCTCGACGCCTACGCTGTGGGCCCAGCGTACTCCTTCCTGGCCGTGGCCCCTTCAATGAAGCTTCCAGGATCCGGCCTACGTCTGCGGCCGCGGTCCAGGAGAACACAAGCAGGGGGGCCCGACAATGCCGTGTTCGGCCTCGCCCCCGGCATCAACAAAGCGCTCCTCACCGTCGAGGAGCACCCCCGGAGCGAGAAGGGCTCCTCAATGAGGCTGTCATCCTGTCGTTCGAGCAGCAGGCGGAGCTCATTGGCATGATGAAACAGCTGATCCAACACCAGACTCAAGCCGCTGCTGCACCGAAGCTCGTGCTGCGACTTGTGGCCAGGCCGCTCAGCGGCCAGAAGCGCGCTGCTCCAGCTTACGTCACATCGGTCATGCACGACTTGTCCCACCTCAGCGAGGCCGATAAGGCAGCAATGCTGGCTCTGCTCGCTTGCCTGGCCGACTAGGACACGAGCGCGTCGTTTCTCGGAGCGCCCAGGGAGCCGCCAAGGAGCTCCCCATGAGCTCCCCCTGCAAGGAAGGCGCCAGCTGGAGAGCGCGCCGCAGACATTCGGATGGCACAGCAGACCCTCTTGGAGCCTTTCGGTGTCGCAAGCCCGCGGCACCAGCAACGCAGGCGATGGGATTCCTGCTGAGGTGGCTCCGCCACGAGCCCTGAACCTCGGAGGTGCGGCGGCCTCGGCAAGCCCCGCGGCCCCGGATAGAGGCTTGGACGCCGAGGCAGCCTCGCCGTGCCGCAAGCTCCTGGCGCACACATCCGCACGAAGATGAACGCCATGACGCCGTCGCGGACCCTGATTCCCTGGTCAGCCGATCTGCCCCTCGACGCGCAGCCTGTCGTGGCACCGATGGGCCCGTGCAGTGTCGCCTGAGGTTGGGTGTAAGCCTCGGCCAGCAATCCAGCGTCCGTGCCGCAACGGTGCAGCCGTCAATTGAGCAAGGCTCTGATACCGCCCCGGGGATAGAGTATCCAGCGACCGTCCTGTGCTCTCGCACCCCCATCGTGACCCAAGCTTGGGCACGTCAGGTGACCGCCGAAGAAGCCAACAAATGTCAGTCAAAGTGGGTAGGTGTTCGTCGTTCGAGCTTCTATGGCATAGTCTTCAGAGAGTGCGATCGCTTCATTCAGCTGAAATGTCGCAACGCTGCGGTAGTCGTCGTCCTTTCCCCCCTCTTTCCTGCTTCCCCGATTCCATTCCCTGCCACTGTCCCTCTGTTCCCGCTTCTCTGTGGCACCCACATCGCGCTTGCATTGCTCACCGTGCCTTCCCGCAGGAACTCAAGTGTCAAGAAAGGTTCTGGTGAAAGAAAACGAGCATTGCATCGATCGTCCATCGACTATCTTACACGCACTTTCACCC